CGCGCCTCCGCACCCCGCGTACGGGGCGGGAGGTGCCTGCCTCGCCGAGCCCCGGGCTGCGGAGCCGGGGGGCTGCGAGTCGCCTGTGTGCCTCCTGGTAACCAGACCATGGTACGGACAGGGCTGTGGTGAGGGTTTGTAAGAGAAACGCATATAAAAGCGCTTCGAAGATGGCAAACGGCCATGTGCTTTTTGGCTGGGAAGCTTTTGAAAGTTTCTTACAGCTGGAGGAAACAAGAAGACAGTAGGTGATTCCATGACTAGCATACTTAATGACGAACAGGCTTAAATAACTGAAACTTAAATGCTCAATTGACTCTTCTGGGCTGTTGCTTTTGTGGCTGCTGACACAAGGCAGCTCACAGGAGTCACCCTGTGATGGACACGGGCTGCAAAGAAACAATGCCTTTCAACAGCACAGTGTTGCTGTATTGAGGAGGCTGAGCTGCACAGTTTTAAATTAAGAGTTGAGGGATCTTGAGTGATAAAGCCATAGGACTATTAGGCTTACTGCAGCCAGAACTTCAAAAAACATGCTGTGCGCGCATACAGATTACAAGTACTTTTTAAATATATATATATGCACATATATTGCTGTCTTTGTTAACACTACTCAGAAGCATTTTGTTTTATCTGGATAGGTGATGAACAATTTTTTAAAATTAAAAAACCATCCTTCAATGAAGTAACCTTTAGAATTCAAAAGAAGGAAGGCCTGCTACCTGCACAGACAGAAATTGAAGAAAGCAAAAGTAAGTACTTTTTTGAGTTTAATATTTTGTGGAATACTGAGAAGAAAATATATTACAAAATCAGTAAGTGAAGAGTGATGTACAAATGCTGCTCTTAGACGTTTTCTACTTGTTAATTGAACCTGGGATTATACATACAATGTTACTTTACATGTTTATAATTTTAATCTATTTGTGCTGAAATTATTTTCCATATGACCTTGGTAAAACAGCATCAGAACTTGGAGGCTGTTCTTGAGAAGACCTGCTTATGCAAAACCCCTGTGCTACATCAGGCTTTATGAACTTCTGATAAATTTATACCTCAGTATCATATCTTTCAAACTGTGTGGCAGCTATCCACTGCTTATTGCTGTGAAATTGCAGTTTGAGCTGAGTATTTGCATTGAGAGAAAATGTGAGCTTAGTAGGATTTTGTTTGACAAAACTTAATGTAAACCTTAAACTTCGTGTTGTTAAACTGTGTGCTATTACAACATTTGAATATTTTAATTGAATACTGTCAGGCCTTGGTTGTTCTGGTAGTATTCCTAGTCTCATTGAACTATAGTAAGTTTCCTATTGGGATATTTGGGGTTTGTGTGTCTAAAAGTTCTTGTCTGCTCTCTTCCCCTTTTGACACCTCTGTCAAATCATAGATACAGCCTAATTGCTACTGTTAGATTAAAAATAAATTAGATTGAGAAATAATTCCCTTTGAGATTGTGATTCAGATGACATGGTATATTTTCTTAGTAACTTCTTACAAAAGTATACCTGCTCCTCTTATAAAAGGTGGCACATTCTGTTGTTCAGTAATCTGGATTTACTGGAAATGTAGTGGCAGATGAAGAGAAATCAATGTTTTTAAAGAATTTGAGGATAATTGGAGGCAAGACAGACATACCTAAACCTTTATAGCTTAAATAAGGACTCCCTCTTGTTAATGCTAAAAAAAAAAAAAATCTTTCTAAACAGTCTATAAAGTCAAGGGAAACGAATCCAAACATGCTGTGAGCTATCAGGATATTAATCAGTTGTCATCTGGGAGCTGATATCACTGCTTTTGTGCATGTAAATGTGCTCTGTGTCTCAGAAGGACATACTAGTTTAAGACTGTCACAGACGGTTTGATTTGAGACAAGAACTGGCTTGTAAATGACTATCTTGGAGTGTTGGAAGATTTGACATGTTTTGATGAGGACAGGTGGAAATAGATAAGTGACCAGTCTTTGCTGCAGCAAGGTGTAGATAGTTACTGGTAACCCGTTATGGCGCACCAGCTTCCAGCAGCTGAAACTGAAATCATGAATCTTACTTATTTTCCCCTAAAACAGAAATCTGTCAGTTGGAGCCTAGAACTGGCAATGTCAAAGGGACTTGTGAAGAAGAGGAGGAGGAGGATGAAAGTTCTTCTTCACTAAGTGAGGACTACAACAGCTTAGACTCTGAAAATGAATGCAGCTCTCTACAGAGGAGGAAGGATTTATCACCAGGTTAGTTTCCTGGATTTTTTTTTAAAGGAAGTTATTTTACAACATTCTTTGTTTGAAGTATGTGACAAGATAGGCAAGATGAATCCCACTCGGTTTAATCGTGTAAGGTATAGGCATCTTGTTTGTGCCGAGTTGGGGCTACCCTTCTGAAAGAATAGTGACAGTTGCCCAGTATTTTTGGTTGCAGATGTTTGTTGTATTTCTGTGTTAATTTTGGAAATGGACCAGAAATTATGACCATTCGTTTCAAAGGAAAGGTAGCCAACAAAAAAAAAAATTCCTGTTTAACAATGCATAATTACCTTCATGAGATTAAAACTTAAGCTCATTTGTGCTGTCTGATTTGTAAACTTTGGATTCCTTTGTAAACTAAATAAATTTAGTAACCCGTATCTTTTGGGGAGATGGAAAAAGGAAGACAGGCTAATGGCAATTTATTTAAAAGAAAAAGCCTGAACTTTGTTTTTAGACTGAGTGCCACTTTTTAAGGATGCTTTTCCATCTCCTTATATTCAACATGGTAAGCTTAATAGAAAACTATCTTGTGTGCTATATTCAGAATTGTACAGTGATCCTGAACAGTGGTGATTGTTGACATTAGGAGCTATACAGAGTGTTGCTTTTAGTCTTTTGCTTAGATTTTCTTTCCCTTCAACGCAGGTTATATCCCCAGTGCAGCTTGTATTGATGCCGCTCGGAGGAAGCGTCACTTAGCCAGGACACGGGCTGATTATCTTCCACTGGATGTTTCAAACAGTCATCAGGTCTCTCAGAGAAGAGAAAGCAGTGATTTAGAGAGTGAAGATGAGTCTGATACGAAGAATCTCAATTTTGTTCCTAAAATGAGAACTCTTAGGCAGAGGATGACTGAACACATGGGTGAGTTTGTGTCATTTCTCCCAGTGGTTGTGGCTTTGTTTTGCTGATGTCTGGAAGAATGTGGGACTTGCCTAATAAAGAGTGAGTGCAACACAAGGCTTTGCTCCTCAGGGGTCTTGGCAGAAGGCTGTACAGCTGGTGCTTGGTGTTTATATGGGATGTTATCTGCTTTAGGTCTTGCTAATGTGGTGGTGCAGGATGCTTTGAGAAACAATCACAAAATGATTTTTGGCCTTGTTGACTGCAAAAAATTGCCTTGTAGGAGGCACAGTGTTTAATGTGAATAAAGTTGCTGTGATGTAAGACAAACTGTCCAGCTGAAGTTTTCTAAATCCTGCCTCCTGCTTCTGGTCTGGTCTTCTCAGTGCTCTCCCTGCACTGATGTTATGGCTGTTCTTGAAAAGGGGGGAAAAAGACCCAACAACCCAGCCCTTCGGAAGTAAACAAACCTATTGCACGCAGAGTGTATGTGGGTTTTCCATTGCTTTTTTATCTGTTACAGCTGCTTACAGTTTTGTTTATGAAGCACTGGTTTACCAGAGCTGTAGACTGGTTTTCTTTATTATTTGAATAAGGGTTATAAAGAATGTGTAACTATGAGCCAATTCAGCAATTCTAATCAATGCTAAAGAGATGTTTTTGTATCTATAGTAGAGCATGCATTTTAGAGCACTCAAGGATTTGCTGTGTATAATATCATTGTGTTATAGTCTACCTGTACTTACACTCTTATTTATACATATTATACACAGCTTTGCTTTGAGACATGAAAATGAGATGTTTGTGCTCCTTGTACTGCAGTAGTAGTTGTCTGAGAAACAGAATGTTGGCGAAATTAATACTGGTGTGAATTCTACAAATCCCACTAGCCATTTCCAAGCCTTCCTTGCCTTTCAGTTTGGAAGTCCCGCATCTGCAGTTTTTTTAATCTGCTGGTTTTTGTGTGTATCACTTCCCAATAATGTTTGGGAGAAGCATTGTTGCTTTAGATGGAGGAGAACGTGGGAGGGCAAAAATAGATAAAGGATGTAATTACATCTAATAATAATTGTTTTCACTTCCAGTGTCTGTGAGTGATGAATCAAGTGAAGATGAAGCAGAAATTAAGTGGGAAGAACAACAAATAAATAAAGCCGTTAAACTATCTCAGGTGACATATGCTTTCCTAACCATTGGAAAATGCTTTTTGCTCATCAGCAAGAGAGCTTGTTCTGTAGTACTGTCGTATCTCCTACCTGCCCTCTCATTAGAGAGGTTTTTAGGAAGTTACACCATAATTCTTCAGAGAAAAAGCAATTGGAAATAGGGGAAGATGATAGTGCAAATCTGTAATCTCTGTCTAGCTGTTCAGAAGCAGGGTATTGTTGTCTGCCTGTATGTCATGGAAGACTGTGGAAAGCAGAAAGTAAAGTTCTGAACCCTGATTTTTTTTGCTGCCGTGCAAGGGATCTTGAAAACAAGAGTATGCAAATACTACAAATGTCAAAAAGTCGCAAAGCAAAAAATTATTCTTTTATTATGCTAAATTTCTGTTGGGTGGCAATCCGAAAGCTTTTTTCACAGTTCAGCAGAATTCTGTCTCTCTTTTCCTGGTAAATAATTGGCAAAAATAAACTGTGTATCTTCTGATGAGCTGGAAGTTTGGGTTTTTTTGGCTTGAATCACCTACTCCGGATCAGATTAGGAAAATCTGAATAACCAGTTCTCTGTTTCAGAATAGACAATTGTAGAAATTCCTGTCTGTTAAATGCAAGTAGTTAGAGGACTGGGAGAAAGTTACATCTTTCTGCTGCTGAATTTCAAATCCAGTATGATTGGTGTTCTTAGGTCCTCATACCCTACTCGTTTCTGGAAAGCTGTTAATTTCTGCTGTTCAGGAAACAGCAGCAATTTTTAGTAGCAGAGCTTGTTAGAAATGGACTTGATTGCTTCAACTGATTGTGTTTTGGCTAGATTTTAATATACAAACTTTTACTGGTTTAGAATGCAAAATGTCTTAATTTATAAGGTAAAATTCAGTGGAATCCTTTTTTAGTTAAATACAGTGAAGCTGAGTTGTCAGAATGAAAAAAATCTGTCCTTTGGCCACTGTCTTTGTCAGAAGGTAACACTCATATTTATTGGGTAGGAAATCAGAAAGTTTACTATGAGAAAACAGAAAATTAAATGACTAATAGATGGCAAATAATTTGTCAAAAATATATTCAGATAGTTTTAAAAAAGCAAGATGTGCGTAAAATCATACTGTCATCACCGCTTGGCTGTAGTTTATTTCTACATTTTATATTTAGAATCGTAATACTAGTGAAGTCTCAGCTGTCAGTATAGAAGTGTTATGCATTATTGAAAGCTATTAATATTTTCAGACCAAGACAGCAACTTAAGTGTACCCTAAGTTATGAATTACTTTGTGCTGTTTATATGGTTATGCACTATATGTTTTTATACAACATGTATATGCAATTTTTATACTTAGTTTCCCTTGCTTTTGTGTTGTACTTTTCTGTACTTAATTTGATGAATGAAATATGTATCTTTATATCATATGCGTTGTGCATTCAAATGATATGTCTTGTTGATCTGTAGAGCTACAGAGGGAAAACTTGTGTAAATGATGTATTAAAAACTAACACTTAATTCTTGTAGGAAACTTATGATGATGCTTCCCTGCATAAATCTAAACCAGCTAAACCAAAGTTTGATCCCTCTGTTTCTCTACCACCTGTGAACTTGGAAATTGTGAAGAAGCGACTGACTGAAAGGTAAATCCTGGACTTATGAACTTAGCTTTTGAGTTGTCTGAGTTTTTGTCACAGAATGAGAGATGACAGCTTTGAAGTCTTATTCTTTTTCTAGAGTATTGGAAGATTTTTGGGTTGTTATTTCATGTATAATATACCTGTTATGATGTCCATAGAATCGTTTAGGTTGGGAAAGACCTTTAAAATCATCAAGTCCAACCGTTAACCTAACACTGCCAAGTCCACCACTAAACCATGTCCCTAAGTGCCCATCTACACCTTTGTTAAATACTATCAGGGATGGGGACTCAACCACTTCCCTGAACAGCCTGTTCCAATGCTTCACCACTCTTTCAGTAAAGAAATTTCTCCTAATATCCAATCTAAACTTCCCCTAGCACAACTTGAGGCCATTTCCTCTTGTCCTATCAATTGTTACTTGGGAGAAGAGACCAATGCTTACCTCACTACAACCTCCTTTCAGGTAGTTGTAGAGAGTGATAAGGTCTCCCCTCAGCCTCCTCTTCTCCAGGCTAAACAACCCCGGTTCTCCTAGCCGCTGCTTAGAAGACCTGTGCTCCAGACCCTTCACCAGCTTTGTTGCCCTTCTCTGAACATGCTCCAGCACCTCAATGTCTTTCTTGTAGTGAGGGGCCCAAAACTGGACACAGTATTCCAGGTGCGGCCTCACCAGCGCCGAGTACAGGGGAACAATCACCTCCCTGCTCCTGCTGGCCACACTATTCCTGATACAGGCCAGGGTGCTGTTGGCCTTCTTGGCCACCTGGGCACACTGCTGGCTCATGTTCAGCTGGCTGTTGACAAACACCCCCAGGTCCTTTTCGGCCAGGCAGCTTTCCAGCCACTCTTCCCCAAGCCTGTAACACTGCATGGGTTTATTGTGACTGAAGCATAGGACCTGGCACTTGGCCTTGTTGAACCTCACACAGTTGGCCTTGGCCCACCGATCCAGTCTGTACAGATTCCTCTGTAGAACCTTCCTACCCTCCAGCAGATCAACACTCCCACCCAGTTTGGTGTCGTCTGCAAACTTACTGAGGGTGCACTTGATCCCCTCATCCAGATCATTGATAAAGATATTAAACAAGGCTGGCCCCAAAACTGAGCCCTGGGGAACACTACGGTCACCAACTGGATTTAACTCCATTTACCATAACTCTCTGGGCTCGGCCATCCAGCCAGTTTTTTATCCAGCAAAGAGTATACCTGCCTAAGCCATGAGCCACCAGCTTCTCTAGGAGAAGGCTGTGGGAAACAGTGTCAAAGGCTTTACTAAAGTCCTGGAAGACAACATCCACAGCCTTTCCCTCATCCATTAAGCGGGTCACCTTGTCATAGTAGGAGGTCAGGTTAGTCAAGCAGGACCTGCCTTTCATAAACCCATGCTGACTGGGCCTGATCCCCTGGTTGTCCTGTACGTGCTGTGTGATGGCACTCAAGATGATCTGCTCCATAACCTTCCCTGGCACCAAGGTCAGGCTGACAGGCCTGTAGTTCCCCAGATTCTCCTTCCAGCCCTTCTTGTAGATGGGCATCACATTTGCTAACCTCCAGTCAACTGGGACCTCCCCAGTTAGCCAGGGCCGCTGATAAAGGATTGAAAGTGGCTTGGTGAGCACTTCCGCCAGCTCCCTCAGTACCCTTGGGTGGATCCCATCCAGCCCCATGGACTTGTGTGTGTCTAGGTGGTGTACCAGGTCACTAACCATTTTCCCTTGGATTATGGGGGCTTCATTCTGCGCCCTGTCCCTGTCTTCCAGCTCAGCAGGCTGAGTACTTGGAGAACAACTGGTCTTGCTATTAAGGACTGATGCAAAGAAGGCATTAAGTACCTCAGCCTTTTCCTTATCCTTTGTCACTGTGTTTCCTCCCACATCCAATAAAGGATGGAGATTCTCCTTAGCACTCTTCGTTGCTGATGTATTTATAGAAACATTTCTAATAGTCTGTAGTTAGTAGAGTACTTAGTAGTAGAGTAGTTAGTAAAGTAGTTAGTACAGTAGAGTACTTCAAATTTTTAACTTTATGTGGCAATGCTTTGTTGTAGGGGAGCACTTTGACTTTTCAAGAGTGTTTATCAACTAGAACTTCAGAGAGTAAGCTCATTTAAATGGCAGCAGCTTTTTATGCTTGCTCGTAGCTTCTGAGAGGAGCATCTGTTCAATGTTACGTTTGCCCAGCAAGCAGAACTTCAACCAGGGCAGATGGAGCTGGCAATCCTAGCCCTCTTACGGTGGTTCTTGTACTAGCTGCAAAAACAGCTCAGTATTTCCTAAAGCAGCAGTAAATCTGTGCAGCCTGTTTAGGCGAACTGGAACCTGCCTTGATTTTTTTCTTTAGTCATGTGCCAGGCTGTGACTTTTCTTTAGCAGTTCAGCTGCTGTATGGGCAGCTGAACTGTCCTGGGGTGGAGGTGGGAACCTCCAAGAGGGTGTGCAAGAAGGACAGCTGGGGTCAGGCATCCTAAGGTAAGCTGTCCCCTCTCATCTCTCAGCACCCTGGGAAGCAGCTGTTCAGATAAGTTTAGACAAGTAATGTTATACAGCTGAAACATATGCGCTACAGACTTGCACCAAGCTCTCTCTGTACATGCTTTGCTTTGTGTAGGCTATCATTCACCTGCTTGTTTAAAGAATTGCAACTAAATTTGACTAAATATTTTTGTGGAATTGTATGTTTTCTTTGCCATAATCACCTGCAAGGAATGAGTTAAATGAAGTAGGAATTTAGGTACAGAATCAAATAAGAAAAATGAGAATAAGGCTATCAGGAGTGGGAAACCTCTTCAGAAAATAGCGAGAAGGGGAGGGGGAATCTGTTTGATGTAAACTTTATAGATGTGTTTAACATGATAAATGGTGAAATAGCTGCTTTTTTTTTTAAGCTTGTAGCCCAGTAGAGGGCAATAGCTTAGTTCAACTATTTTCATTGAAAAGTGTTCCCTGCTTCAGGGAAGTGTAAGTAAAAAGTGTAAAAGTTCCTGTGCTGCCTATCTTAATAGTTAGTGACAGCTGTAGACAGAGGTTCCTGTTCTTTATTGCCTACTAGCAGCAAGAGCCCTCAGTTAGTTTGTATTTAGTAGTGAGCATGTGATGAATGCTTATAGGTACTGCTATCCATGCAACTTACTTTAAACCAGTATGGACATGTGACATGAGCTGTAGTTTTCCCCAGGTTATGTTGGGTAGGATCCATTTAATGTGATATCACAAAGTCTGGCTTTTTATGTTTTTGGGAATTGTGGTGTATTGAGGAATCTAGGTAAAATGTCAGTGGTGCTTTCAAAACTAGCACTATGTTAAATGACATTTGAGCCTCCAAAGCATGATGCTTGTCCACACCCCACACTTCTGCAAATGTTGGCATGGATAAATCTTTCAACACTGCTTAGCTCAAATGCAAGTACTGTTATTAGCACAGGCAAAGATTTTGTATGTGATTATAATGGGAAAAATGTTTTGGAATGTATCAACTATTAATTTGGCAACAGTTTTAGTTGTCTGGGTTCCTTTTTTTTTAGGATAACATCATTACAGGATGTGCACCGTGCCCACCAGAAGGAGTATGAAAAATATATGGAGGACATTGAAAGTTCAAAGATGACTGTCCAGGAGTTAGAGAAGTCTTCGGATGCAGCTCTGAATTACAAATTCTACAGGGCCATGAAAACATACGTGGAAAACTTGATAAACTGTTTGAATGAAAAAGTATGTATATTTTCCTCTGTTTTTTTAGATGATAAAGGTGCATTCTGTCAATGAAAGAGGAGGGGATTTTGTTTGGAAATGATGACAGACAGCACTCAGTGGAAATCAGTTCTATCAGAAATGTTAATGTAATGGGAAACAAAATGTAGGGAAAACAAATCAACCCTCACCTGAAGTTATGATCAAGCTAGCACAGGTGTACTGACTTGAGCTGTGATCTCACCTAGATTCTGTTGGATGAAAACAAAATGTTATTGGAGGGAGTTTTCTGCAGGTCTAGTAACCAGAGTGCACTGAAGTTGAATGAGAGGTGGCACTTACATTTTGAGAGATCCCAAAAGTGAATTTATTTACTCAGGGTTACATAACAAAGGTAGTAAGGATTTCCTGTTAGGTTTGAGTTGGGATTCAGTTAGCAGAGCTCTGTGAGAATCTGTGTTATTGGCTGCATTAGTTTCCTGAACTGCAAACCTGTATTTAAAAAGATGAAGACTGGGAGAAGGGGAGGAGCCACCTAAAGTTTGTTGAAAGTAAACTGCTGTTATCCTTTATAGATAATGCTATCAAATCTAGTTTATGTCACTTAATTGCATTGCAATTGTGAATTTCTTCATGTAACTTTAAAGAGAACAAATGTTAGTTAACGAATACATTTTCTTTAATGGCTAGTGGCTCAAAAGCAAACTGAAAGCAAACTAAGTGCACCAATAGTGTCCTGTTGAACCCTTTTGTATGAAGTCTGAGGTAGTCCTGTCATGAGCAACTGGCATTTAGTTTGCATTTTCCAGCCTTATAGAAAAGCCTGAAAAACTCCAGTGACTGGGAACTTTTCAGTCTATGATACTTTGGTTCTAATTTCAAAGCTGTACCGAAAACCTATGGAAACTGTTTGTTTTTTAATTCTTTTGGTAATTTAATTAATTGAAAACCTGATTACTGTTTACTCTATTTCAGCTGAAATACATTAATGATCTAGAATTGGCTGTACATGTACATCTTCAGCAACGAGCCATGAGAGTATTGAAACGAAGGCAAGATGAGCTGAAAAATGAATCTGCTTATATTCAGCATCTGACAAGTTAGTATGAAGTTAGAAGTTACTTTCTTACCAAAGCATTCACTCTCTGAGCAGAAATACACAGTTTTTGGATGAAGTTTAATTTTCACCTTTGATCTCCTTTCCCCTTCCCATTGTCAGTAGGTGTGCTCTACTGTACCTCAGTTGAAATCCTTACCTCAGTAAGGCCTGTGATACTGGTTTTCTCTGGTTTAATGGTGAACATAATGTGACCCAGTACTTTGTCAATTTTTAGTTATTCAGCTCAGCAATTTCCCATCAATATTTAAAAAGAAAAACTGAGTTGTTTTTCTGGTAGGTCTTAAGTTGGAGAAAGCTTGCTTATTGTGTGATTCTGTGAACATACGGAAAAAGCAGTGTGTTTATCTGGCAGCATTGCTTTTACATGAGAGTGTCTTTAAGGCTATGTGTGTCCTCACAATGGAGATTTCAAACTAGGGGGTGACACTTATGTGAAGGGAAGGACATGAAGAAAGAAGCCATTTTGTGTAAGGGTTTTATCTAAAACAAAGTAGTGTTTTTTCAATTGCCGCAGGAAAAAAATATTAGAATTTTCTCATCTTGTACTTTCTTTCCACGCTGATATATTGTTTATATGCTGTGTGAATCTTTAGCTGCTGCTGTTTAAAACAAGAAAAAACCAAAACAAACCCCAAACAAAAAAAAAACCCAAACAAAAACCATTTAAAACTGTTTAGGCAAAACTAAGAACGGTATGCTTGGAGCTGCTGGGAACAGATGGAGGCCGGATGCACCAGTTCCTGGTAACTACTAATCACATGGGTTCAGTCTTCTCACTACACAGGGTAAACGGCTGATTAGAGAAAAGTAGCAGCCTGTATGATTTTGTAAAATGGTGTAGTAGACTGACAGCAGGTGTTAACAAGAAAAGGATAGTGCCATAATAGTTGCCATTAAAATGATTTTGCTTACAGCTCATTACAAATGAGACTGTACTTGGATATTTAACAGTGCTTTTAATTGTTTTTTATGTTCCTAGTTGTATTTCATATAGTGTAAAGGCTGTTTTTTCTGCTATAATACTTCAGTAGTAGTACACTTTTTTCTTTTTGGCATGTTGTGCACATACCAGCTAGCTAATAGTGATACAAATGAATGGCCCAACTAGAAAATGCTCCTAATTTCTACTCCTGCATTGGACTCGAGAATCAGAGTAGGGGTAATTGGGGTCACACAGTCAGTGACTGCTCGGATAACAGGAGGCAGTGGGAGCTGACTGGTCTTGAAATCTAAACGCAATGATTTTGAATAGTGTACATCAGGGCTTTAACTTCCATTACAATGTTGGAACCAAACCTCGAAAGTTATTCTGATTTATTACATGGCTTCATTTTTGACATACAGTGCAAAGGTAGGTCCCTGTGCTTGCCTTTCACACTGCTAAGGACCTACTACGGAAGCCACTAACTTCCTTTTCCAGGATCGGGAAGCAATGGGCGTTGACTGGAATGTCATCAACTCGCCTTTTCATCAGCTGCTATAAGGGAACAACCACATCCTGACTATATGTGGTTAACAAGTAATTTTTACTGTGTGTTACTCTGGAGACTGTTAGAGTTCTGATTAGGAGGTTTGATTTTTCTTCGGCTATTTTCCAAATGAAGAACAGTAGAAGGAGAATCTATGATTCCTATTTGAGAAAATAGGAACTTTAAAATCATCCCATTTTACTTTTGGCTATTTCTGTCTTCTGATAGGTGGGAATGACAAACCAACTAATGGTGGATTGGAAGGTGATGAGAAGACACAGCTTCTGGAAATGTGTGAACGTCGAAGGTAGGTATTACGTATATGTATGCTTAACTCTGATAGATGTACTGTATGCTGGTTTTCTGTCATTTATGCAGTGATGAATGTAAACCTGTAGGATTACTAAATGAGATTATACAAAAAATATGTATTTGCTTTCCAAAACTTAAAGTACATGGAAACCATCTGTTTGTTAATGTCATTCTCTTACTGTTGATTTGAAACTGAATGCTAATAGATCTTGTTTTTATAACAAGTCTTATTTGAGTGAGGCTATTTACAAAACTGTGAGAGAAGCTTCTTCTGTCCTGTTGTAATAAATAAAATTATGACCTTATACAGAGATATATTATTGTATAGATAGCAAAAAAAGTCAGGCAGTATTGTTGCTGCTGGGGGTGGTAGTGGTGGTGAATGAAGCAAAGCTATATCTAGCCCCTCCCCTGCTATCGGTGTAGGCCAGATGCTACATTTTGGACAGTATAGTGTTCAGAGACTGCTACTGATTTCCACCCCACCTTCCCCGCCCC